AAAAAGAAAGATAATATGAGAAAAACAAATTGACTTACTTAAGTAGTAACTAGTTAATCGTGCTAAACGTGCCATAGCTACAGCTGCTGCTACTTCGGAACAATCACGTAAAAGTAAATAGAATACATTTGTTTTTCCATTTGCACCTAATACACTTTTATCAATACAACCAAGAAGAAGACGACTATTACGAATAACAATAACTAAATAAAAAATAATTTTTCTATGAGAAAAGAAAAAAAAACTTAACTTACATCCATCATTGCAACATAAATCTTCACCTTCACCTGAATAAGCTTTACCTTTTGCACGTAAATTAATAATATCTTTACAAGAATTATTAAGTCGAAGTATAACATTAAATAATTGTTTGCCTGTCCATAATTGACAAGGCTATTTAGTAAAAAAAAAGAATTTTTTTTGATAAAACTAATAGTATAATTAAAAATATATAATATTTATATTTACTTTATATATAGTTGGTGGTGGTAAATCAATTTTTTCTAATCCATCTTTATTCGTAAGTATCCATGTAAGTAATTGACAAGCTTTTGCTCGATCAAAAAATACATCACGTTGAGTAATTAAATAAGCACCTATAGAATAAAAGTTATTTTTTTTTATCAAGTTTTATCTAAACATTCAAAATCAACGGATGTTTTACATAAGGATTGATTAGCCGAGTCATAAACTCTTTCCCTTCTTGATTTATAAAGTTTCATAGTGAGAAGAGCTTGCATACATTATAACTCTTCTGTAACTTAAATGATCAAGACCAAGCTGATATTCCTTATAAATAAAAACTATCACCAAAAAAAAAAGACTCAGCTCAATTGATTAATGTAAATTAAACATATTGAGAATTTTGTATTGTCTAGTTATTTATGAATCATTCTATAGTTTAAAACTTTTCTTATCATACCAGTAAGAAAATCTTGTGTTGCACCAATAATCATTTCTCCATTACGTGGTGTAACAAGATTTGATTTTGTCTAAATAAATGAAACTATTTTATTATTATAAAAAAAACAAAAAAAAAAAATTTCCTTTACCCCCATAAGTACAAGTGCTTCAGCTTTAGCTTCTTCTGTTTGTGGTAAATGAAGATTCATTTCATCTCCATCAAAATCTGCATTAAATGGTGAACAAATACATTCATTAAAACGAAATGTTCTATGAGGCATAACTCTTGCATATAATGCCATTATTGAAAGACGATGTAATGATGGTTGTCGATTAAATAAAACAACATCACCATCAATTAAATGTCGTTCAACAATATCACCATACTAAGAAAAATTATTATTTAATTAAGAAAATATAAATATGATATAATTATAAAAAAAATATTTACACGTAATTTAGCAGCCATATCATTTCGATCACCATATTTAAGAAATTTTTTTTGTTCAGTTTTTGGATGAATTATAAAATTTGCACCTGGATGTACATCAGGACCATTTCGAACAAGTTGTCGAATAAATTCTATATTTGTTTTATTAACAATTTCTGGATAAGACATTATTTTTGCAACATGAATTGGTACTGCAACCTAAACAAATATGTAGATAAAATTATTCATTAGTGATATGACTTTCCAATATTAGAAAACATGTATCTCGAAATAATGAATTTTTCTAGAACTAATTTCTATATGTTAACTTGCTCTAGATACACTGAAGAAAAAAAAACAATACTCAAGATCTTTATTCATAGAAGTTATTAATTTATTTTAAATGATTCAAATCCTACTCAGAATCTTCAGACGATAGTTTGATCAAAAATTTTTTTTTGTTTTTTTGAGATCTATTTAAAATAATATCCGATAATAGGAATAGATTAATTTGAAAAAAAAAACTTTCTGTCGAATCTTTCTAAAATTTTTATCTATTTCAATTAATAGTGAACATTTTTTGTTTTTTTCTTTTATATGAAAATAAAAACTTACTTCATCAATACGTAAATTTGGATCTGGTGAAATAACTGTTCGTGCACTAAAATCGACACGTTTACCAGATAAATTTCCACGAAAACGACCTTGTTTGCCTTTTAATCGTTGTGCAAATGAACGTATCCATTTTTTTGGTTGCATATGAGCTGGAATACCAGATAAACTACTATTGATATAAAGTGCACATTGTAATTGTAAAAAATCCCATTGTTCAACAAGTTTATCCATTTTAACACCATTTAAACGATTACGTTGTATAACATCATTTAAAAAAATTATTTCACTTAATTTTATTGTTAAATCATCTTCATTTCTTAAAAAAAAAATAAAAAGATAAAAAAATGAAGAAAATAAATTAAATTAACATACGTGCCAGCTCGAAAATCAGATTGAACTGTTGGTCGAATACATATTGGTGGAACAAGAATTCTTGAAAGTATAAAATCACGTGGATGAATTATAGATTCATCAATAAGTAGTAAAGGTAAATCCTGTGAATTTTCGAAATATATTATTTAGAAAAAAAAAATTCATTTCAATTTAAAATATTAAATTGATAAAACAAACCTCTGTTGGAATACGTTCAAATAATTCTAAAACACGAACTGGATTAAGTATTTCTGTATATGAACTAATAAGTGCACCAACTTCTGCATTGCTTTGTCGAGCTGAATGAAATAATTCATTAATATCTACTAATGTATTATGTTGTCGTTTTTGTGTACGATATTTATCATGAGCAATTTTTAATAGAGCACATTTAAGAACAGCACCTATATAAAACGAAAAAAATCTCAATAATTTAATTAAAATAATTCATTTTAATATTACCATTTAATTCTCCACAATATGGACATATGGTTGTTTTTTTTGCTTTTTCATGAACACGTTTTCTAAGAGATTTTTTTTGTAAATAAGTTAAAACAGGACGACATAATTGACGTTGAAAGGTTTGTTTCATTTCTTTATTAAGCATAACACGTGAACATTTCTATGAATAAAAAAATAAATTATCTCACTACGGGCTATATCCTGATTACGGACACTTTTTTCAAGTCAACTAAAGATTCGTATTACATTCAAAAAAAAAATTAGTTTTTCAATACTCGTTTTTCGATAAGATAATTCACTTTTGATTACGACACCATTTTCTCTTATAGTTTCGATCTCGGCAATTTCGATTTAGTCCTTTAGTCTCAAATTTAGATTAACGAATTATTTGTGTCATAAAGTTTTCTGAAACGAATTTTTATTATGTTTGCTAGAGAACACAATAGGCTATGTAATACTGTAATATTATCAAGACATCATGAAACTGTTACAAAAGAAAATATATGTATAAAAAGAGAGAGTGATATAAGTTTTTCAAAATATTTTATGTTCTTAATAAGATCTATAAGTCCCTTAAGAAAGGAGTTATCGTTTATAAATCGCCTGAATATTCGATTCTGTCACGTTTGGATTCGGGTTCAAAAATTTTGTATCCGACAGACTCTACTCAGCATCTTTGAACAAGTATATTTCTTTTTTTGAGCGTCTCACTTTGTAGTCATCATGTTTAATATCATCACTAGTGAACATTCAATGTCCATTTCTTTTAATCACTATTGGAAAACGATAAGTAATTCTTTAGAAAAGAAGAATACAAAAAAATAAATCAATTTGATACGAAAAAACCAAGATAAGAAAAGTATTACGGATGCATGAAATGAGTCATCACTTCTATATATGAATAGTTATCGCCTTTTTAAATAGATCAATTATTGCTGGTCATGAACTTAATCAATAATACATGTCTTTTATTATATAAAACACTGAATTTAAGACCAAAGGACTCTCATTTTATCATGTCGATTTTCTGCTCTCTTCACACGAATCTACTATGAAGACATTTTTTTTTCTTTCAATTAAAGATATAATGCTTACTTTACAAATTGTTTGAAGAACAACAACAATTGAACGAAAAAATCCAATATGAAATACAGGTAATTGAAGATCAATATAACCATAATGACCAAGACATTTTGTAACATCTTGATGACATGTATCACATATACGTTTCCCTCCACAAACACCCTACATAGAAGAGAAAAAAGAAACTCTATTCTCTTTTCAACAAACAAAAAAAAAAAGAAATGTAATTACCAATTTAGGATCGAGTACACCAAATGGAGCTGGTGTTCGTGCAGCATCTTGTGAATACAAATTTTTACTAACGACATGAATATGTGCTTCTTTTTGCATCTCAAGTGAAGAAAAAGGAGCAAACTGGATTTGATTTCTACAAATAAAGAAATTAATTTCTTTTTTTATTAAATTAAAATTCTAGTATTTCTTACATGACTTTGCCAGTTTTAACACTACGATATTGTGTTTTAACCATATTGCTTTTTTTGAGATTATATTATTAAGATTAATCTAAAATGAATTTATTGTTAATAAAATATTTGAATAGTATATCTATGATACAAATAAAAAAAGCGAATGATGCAATATTTTCTAATCTATTATGAAATATGTTTCTTATTAAAAAGAAAATATTCTATAAGTGTTTTTATTGCACGATTTTCAACATATGAGAATTAAGATCAATGGCATGTTTGCTATACGTCAAAAATTGATGAGATTAACACCAATGGTTTTTATTCATTATCAAGAAGACATTGTAGAGCGACTTTGGGCTAGTGAAGAAACATATTCAATTATAAAAAGTCGTTCAACAAGTGAGTCTTGGTGAGATTAAAATAAACTTCAAAGGATTGAAGTCTATGACTTATTGATAAAGAATTACGACTATATTAATAAAAATTTTTATTGAGAGTGAAACATTTCTGAAAAATCTAAAAATAAAAAGTGTTGCTATGAAATTTTATCTATAGAACGATTTTTAATAGTCTAAATTTTTCTTAAGATATGAGACTTCCAACCATGGCAGCAACTTACCTTCTGAGGACTCTAGAAAGACTTTATTCATTTTCGTTGAATCTTTCAGAACTACCAAATCTCGAAACTTCTTTCTCTCAATCTTACCGGAGGAACTACTCAAACTATAACCTATAGTTTGATCTTATGTTGGATTTACTGGGATAACTTGATGAGGCTAGCAAAAGTCTAAAGAAGCTCGTATTCATAGGCTCGAGAGCCAAGTTACTGAATTTTGGACTCAATTTTAGCTATTCACTAGAAAATCAAATAATACAATTGAATTTTCAAGTAAACACAATTTTGCATCAAGCCTGTGTCGAACAAGTTTTTTTGAAAATTCTATACCTCAGTAAAAGAACATTGTTTTCGATTGAAACTTTCAGGATATTCTATGGGTCATTCGTTGTATGTATGAGCAGAATTTCCGGTGGAAAATTATGTTTTTTTGATTGTTCGATATGTATCAAAAATTCAGTAAAACGATTCGAATTCTACTTCAAAGGCTCGTGACAACGAATCTTTTTACATTTTTTCTAGTCTTATTGAGACTTCTTTGTAAGTCGAAATGAGCTCAAATGGTGGATATCAGTTTCGGTTGGTTCCATCGTTAATTCCATTGAAACTTGTAGCCATAATATAAATTCGAACGTTGTCCGATATTTCTTCATAAGCTTCTTCAATCTTAAAAAATGAAATAGTGAAGATTAAGCAAATTTAAATGATCTAAAACTGAAGTAGATGTTTCTTGTAAATCAAATATTAATTAATCAAATATATTATGCTGCATTAGAATAATATCTACGAGGTTATGTATGCATATTAAAATCTTATATCAATGAAATATTTTATTAATTGTAAAGTAAAAAATTGATATTATTAATTAATTTAATTTATAACCAATAATTGCATCAAGATATGCTCCAGTGTGTATGCATTTAATATTTTTAAAACCAACTTTTTCAAGCATATCTTTATATTCTGAACATGTTCGTTCTCTTCCAACTGTAGCTACAAGCATATTTAAATCTTGCATATTAACTGTTATTGGTCCTGATTTATCTTCATTTAATAATTTTTCTGCAATTAATATAGCACCATTTATTTTTGGTAATGTTTGATAAATTTTTCTTAATAATAATTCACATTTTTCATCATTCCAATCATGTAAAATACGTCCAAGACCAAAAAGATCAACTTGAGGAAGTGAATCATTAAAAAAATCACCACTTTGAAAATGTATACGATTACGAATATTTGATAATGTTTGATTAATATATTGATTAGCATGTTTTTCTATACGAGGAAGATCAAAAATAATTGCTTGTAAATTTAAATTTGCTTCACAAGCAGTCATAGCTAAACATCCAGTAGCACCACCAAGATCACAAAATGTTTTATATTGTTGAAAATTTTCAATTGATGCAATTATATTTGGAAAACAAATTAAACCTAATCCATGCATAGCTGACATAAATATTGTTTCAGCATTATCATCACGATAATGTGCATTAAATGTATATTTATCTTCATCTATTGTTTTAAATGTTTGTTGCCATTGTGATGTATTTTCTTCTATTGCATTTGAAAGTTTAGACCAAAGTAAATATGATGATTGATTATTATGATTAATATATCCATTTAGAGTTATTGGACTTGTTGAAACAAGATATTTATTACTTAATTGTGTATTAGAATATTTTTTATTTATTTTATCTTGTTTAAGTAATTTAAGAGATATACAAGCATTTAAAAATCGTTCTAATGATGATAAATGATATATATTAAGTTTATTTGCTAATTCTTCTAATGAAAGTTCTTGTGTTGTTAAATGATCAAATAATTTATAATTAACAGCAGTAAATAAAGTTTGTGAACAACGAAATCCATCAATTAAAGACAATATATAATTTGAATCAACATCTTCTGTATTAGGTACAGAACTCTAAAATAAAATTGAAACAAATTTAAATGATTAGATCTTTTTATATATCCATGCTTTGTTTGATAAACTGTATTTTAAATAAAAATTTTTTCTTTTAATCTATGAATGATTATAATTTTTGTTTTATTCATTTATCAAAGACTAAAACAAATACACATAGTATGGAGTCTCGAATATGCGTCATTTCTCCTTGAACGAACAGAAAAATTTCGATTTGGATTTAATTCAACTCAAAAAAGATCTTGTGCAAAAAGCTTGAGATATTATCTACCTATCATTGAGTATGAACATGAAATATGACAATATAAGACTAAAATTATTTAAACCGCGTAGAATTATACTACTAAGAACGCATACAATTAATACCAAATAGAGTCGCTTAGAAATATTATCATAGAGGATTTCAGAAACTTTTCGTATATTTCTTTTGAATCTTTCACATTTGAAAAAATTTTTTTTAATGAGTATTTCAAGTAGACGCTTTATACTACGTCCTTGGTTTCTCTTCCTAACCGAATTTTTGTACATTTTTCTGTGTTATATACGCTTCGCAGCAATCTACTAACATAATGATAATAGTCGAAAAACGAATCCGTTTCATAAAAATATAAAATATTGTTTCTATTTCTTAACCACTGTATATCTAATTGAGCAAAATTTCAGTTTAGAGAGAAGCGACTTTTAGCTTTTACAATACTAATATCTCCCAGAAGAAAGCATTTGGAAATTTAGATTCTTGCGATAGCTTTTGTTCTACTTCTCAATATGTATCTACTTTGAAAATTTTTTTCTAATGAACTGTTCGCCATAAGTTTAGGAAAGTTTTTCCTAACCAATCGTTTATTCTTTTATTTCTACAATAATACATACCATTGATCTACATATTGCAGAATTATTTCGAATAAATTTTGTTTTTGAAGAAACAAAATCTAGAATATATTTAATTCTTCTAGTCATTTTCATATGTTTCTGAAATAAAATAATATAATTAAATATTTACATGTCATTAATAAAGATCATTAATTTATTAAAAGAAAACTTATAAAAGATCATGAATTTATATTTTAAATGAAAAAAAGAAAAACGAAAAAGAAACCATCATAAATCAAGTACAACTGACACAAATAAATGAAGTTTCTATTCGGAAAATAAAAACGAGCTTGATTGAACAATTCAAAACGCGGATATTTTCCTTCCAAAAATATATGTATATATATATATAATATATTCATAGATATAAACAGGAAAGGCAATCATTAAAGCAAGGACACTGTTAGACAAAGAAACTACATATAGAAAAAAAAGAGAAAAAAGAAAATTAAAGAGATTATTAGCCTCCACAACATCCACTTCGATGAGGTTGATTGTTTTGCGTAATATCAATTGATTGATTCTGATTTGCATTAGCTGTATTAGGACCAACTTTTACTCCATCCCATCTAAAACAAATTTGATTTTTTTAAAAATATGAATAATAAATAATAAGCATACCCTTTTTGAATATGAATACGGCCTTCAATTAATAAATCATAAATTTCACGAGCAATAAGTGCAAATGCTTCTTGTACATAGAGAGAAGATTTTGATGATGTTTCAATAAATGGAATATTATGAAAATCTGCAAAGGCTTTGCCTTCTTCTGTTGTCACCTAATTTTATATATAAACATAGTTAAAACAAATCAGAATAGGTTTCTTTCTTTTTTTTTAAAATATACTTGTCGTTCAGATTCTCGATCAATTTTTGTACCAACAAGAAGAAAAACACAATGATATGGTTCTATTTGTTGACGGGCATCATTTAACCAATTGGTTACATGTGTAAAACTAACATAATTTGTTGTATCATATATAAGAAGAACACCAACAGAATTACGATAATAAGCACGTGTAATACTTCTATAAAGACAAATAATAAAAATCAATACTTACAGATAAAGATTGACTTAACGATTATTAATCAAAAATGAATTCATTCAACTCTTAAACATATATTTCACAAGATGAAAACAAAAAGTTTAGAAACAAAGCATCTTGGACTTCTTTTCCTGACGGTAACAGCTAGAACAAGAGAGAACACTCGTAGGACATCAAAGAAGCTCACAATCTAATTAGTCAATTGTTAATAAATATGATTTTTGATAAAATACAATAATGTCATAATCTTAAATTTTACCTAAATCGTTCTTGTCCAGCTGTATCCCATAATTGTAATTTAACTTTCACACCTGGTTTTATTTCAATGATTCTTACATGAAAATCCACACCAACTGTTGGATCCTATTTAAATTATTAATTTATATCTATAATATCAATTTGACTTACTGGATCTTGTGAAAAAACTCCATCACAAAATGTTCGCAATAATGATGACTTAATAAAACAAAAAAGAACATGAATATTAAAAAAATTTTTTTGTTTTTTCATTCAATTTAATATATACCTTTCCAACAGTTGAATCTCCAACAACAATTAAACGAAATTGATAATCATAACTATACAAATTATCCATTAAATAATACTTTAATTGACATAAAATTAAAAAAAAAAAAAGAAATCTAAAAAATTAAAAATTTTGTTGTTTTTTTTTTTAACATGAAACTAAATATACAGACACAGGATTATCATACAAAACTATTTGAATAGAAACAATTTATATATGACATCTAAATTGTCATAATAAATTAAAGAATTTTACAAAATTTCAGCCGAAGTATTTTTTTCTTATGTATTTTTCATTCGGTCTTGAGATTCTTATTAACATAAAACAAAAAAAAAAGAAAAACATGCAGATGACAGCAATTGCTTGTGTAAGAACAAGAAAGAAAAAAAAAGAATTCTACTCTTCAATAATATCATATGGCGTATGTAAACCAATCCTTCTATTCGATGCTTGTGGAACATCATAAGATGATGTACAAATTTTTAAATCATCATCAAGTTGTGTTGAAATATCAGATTTAAAATCACATACATAAATATGTCCTGATAATCGATCAGGATCAATTTGATAATCAATCTAAAAAAAAACAATAATCATTAAACTTCCCTTAGAATAGAAACTCACTCTATCAAAAATAAGTACAAAGGATATTAATAAAACTGCATAGACTAGTTCATTGTTTCTTACTCATTAGCTATAGCTGATGTCTAATTAACTTTATGTAGTATGTGTATTTTTCTACCAAGTAAAAAATTTGTACGCATATACGTAGTTATCAAACATACCTGTCGAAAGACCATAGGATCTAAAATCGTTATCTTTCTATAAATTACGGTTGTAATGGTATCTATGATTACGTAGAATAACAAAAAAGGTCATCTACTAGAGATTGTTGGGTCCAATAATTGGAGATCCAGACTTGATAGACTTGTGCACTTATCGATTAGGATTCAATTTAACAGAGAAGTACTATCCTAGAACCAAAAATATTTTTACTTCATATTTCTCTCATGATAATTGAAACCTCTTCAAAACGTTATATAACTCAAAACACTTCAATGTAAAATGTAGTGTATATAACACACTATCTGGTAGATTTTATCATATGGAATCAAGAGGAAAGAAACAAATACCTGTAAAAACTGCGGACACCACTAAAACTATAAAAGAAAAAAGATAGAGCCTTAAATAGATGTCCATAGTTTTTAAAATATTCAGAAGAGACTGTAAGCCAACTTTTTCGTTTGTAGGAAATTATGATATCTTTTCTGAGAGGAAGCAAGCTATAGAAAAAAAATCTTTAAAAATAAAATTTAATTTACCATATCTGGTTGTTTGCAATATGGTGTTAATGCAAAAATAAGTGTTTGTTTATCAAATGAACAATGTGTAACAGGATGTGATTGAGGATTCATATGCCATAATGAATGTGGATACATTCGTCGATCCCTTTTAGAACAAAAAAAACATATATATATATATTCAATAATTTAAGTTTAATCTCATACCAAAGTCGAACAAAACCACATACATCTGTACTTGCTAATTTCCATGTATCCATTTGTAATGTTGTTATTGTAGAAAAATGATTATAAAAATGTTGTATAGCTCCTTCTTTTTGTCGTCGATCAAATATACTTATTTGAAAATTATCAAATGCAACTATAAATTCATTTATAGGACATTTATCAGCACGAATTAAATGAATACTTGCTGGAGAATTTTTATAATTTGTTGATACAATATTACAACGACCACTTGCTAAATCAAATAATTTTATTTCACGATCAAGTCCAATTATAGCTATAGGTTCATCATTATGAATATCTAATGGAATTTTTTGTATATAATCTGAATCAAGTATTGAATAAAATGAATGACGATGTATTAGATTTGATAATGATATACACCATAGAGATTTATTAGCAGCAATTATTGATATTGGTACGGAATGATGACTAGACATACAGAATGATAAAATACGTTCGTTTAAATCGGTTAGGAAATTAAGTTCTTGATATTGAGGAATTGATTCATTCTAAATTAAGAAAAAATAGTATATATATATATCTTGAAACTTTATTGAAAAATAGAATGAAAATTATACACATAGGCCACTTCAGACAAAACGGAACATGCATATTATTCATTTAATTTTGACTATTAATAAGAAAGTTATTTTTCTGAACAAGTTCTTTTAGCATCAATCTTTCTAAACATATGAGCAAAAAACAATACAAAAACTTCAGAATAGACAGTACGGTATAAACTACTTTTATTTTAAAATTTGTAGCAAGATCAGACTTCAAAAAACTTCCTTTCAAATATGTGTTTTCTTATTTCATGATAATAATAGAATATAATTAAGTGTTGATCATTATAGAAAGTCTAACAAGTCATTGATATTCAATTTAATATGAATACAATAAAAACTTACTAAAGTGAACATCTCAGGGAAAATTCAAGTGTTCATCATTCACAATTTTTTATTCTTATGTGTGCAAGTGAGCGTATAGGATTAGAACTAGAACAAAAAAAAAACAGTATTCACATTGTAGAGACGTTTACAATGGAAATTTTTACTAGAGATTAAATATAGATGAATTGGTATGTAGACATGAGCGATCAAAATATTGCTAACTGTATTATTTTGTTCCGATTATGTCCATTAAACAAGATGCCATAACTTATATTTAAATATGAAATCGCTATAACTCTTCTCTCTTAGAAAAAGTTCATCTTCGCTCTATCAATCAAATAATTAAGATAAATGCATAGGATGATATCTTAAGATCTGATCTTTCTAATCGAAAAATCTTATTCCATGTATTTAATTCTATATTCAGGGTTGAAAGATTATGTCAAAATACAGAACCTGAAATAGCCTCTTTTTTATATTAATCTTTGTTTCTACTATTTTGTCTAACACTTCTATAAATAGATGACCATTTTCAAAGAAATTTTGAAGTATCAAATTAATTATCCTTTTCTATACATACAGCGCAAGAATTTGAAGAAAAAGTTTAAATATTTTGAATAAGAGTTCACAGAAAATTACAGGTTGTCAAATGCGATGTTTTTCATCTTTATTTGATAAATATCTTCCTCAAAAGTTTTAGTATAGGTGAGTTGAAATCATCTCAGAATATCACCGGTAGTTACGTCGTCAAAATTCGAATCACCAAAATTTTGCAAGGAGCATATTGATCAGATAAAAATGTTGCCAATACAAAAAAAAAATCATTTGGTCCTGTCCATTTCTAGTTTTAAAATATACTATATATATTCTCTTGCTAATGAACATAAAAATATCGATTGATATATTTTTATGAAACTAAGTCATCATATTTTTACCTCATTAAAATTCCATACACAAAATTTCGATCGACTTGCAGTACATAATATTTTATCATCATTTGCAATATGTTGAATTGGTAATGATGTTAATTGTTGAGTGTAACGAGGTTTATCACCGATATCTTTCGTCCAAACTTCTAATAGACCATTATCATGTATAGCATAAATATCATTTTTTAAAAATCCTACTGATTTAACACTTGATAAATCTGTATCTTGATTTGTATCTGTTGATTCATAAATAATATCAGGTGTATTTAATTGTTCATTATCTTCATCATTATCATTAACATTAAGAATAGATTCAATAGACCATGTACGAATAATACCAGTGGAATAACCAGCAAGAATTGTTGTTTGATTATTATTTGCACATGTTAAAACAATACCAAGACGATTAGTTAATTTAGTTGTACGACATTGATGATTTTTAAAATTTTGTATTAATTTTTGATTTGATAAAATAGCTTCTTTAATATGATTTTTCCAAGTATAATCAGGATTTTTATTTATTTTATCAAATTTTAATCGTTTATATAAATTATACCATAATATATCATCACATGATAATGAATACCATGATTTACATACTTGTAAACATGAATATAAATCTTTAATTGATAAATAATTAAATATATGTAATGCTATTTCACGTGGTAATGATATATTAAAAAATGGTATGTCTGTTGATTCATCAATATCTCGTATTAATTCATCAATTAATGTTAAATTTGATGTTTTTAATTTTTTAAGTGGTGGTGGTTCAATTAATGATAATTTTGTGGACGAAGAAGAATTTGAAGCAATAAATGTTCGAATACCAATTGTAAATGATGCATTATTAGTTATTGAATACGATGGACGAATTGATTGAGATGGTAGTGGAATCGATGTTTGACATTCAATTGAATGTTTAGATTTTGTACCTAATCGACAGAGATCACCAGTTGGACTTTGTGGAATATCATTGACAGAATTTGATTGATTAGATTTCTCTTTTGAGATTTCTTCTTGCCAGAAATGACGAAATTTGTCCAATGATTCCATTGATTGAAATGAAATAATTAATAAGATGATATAATCTCACGTGAAATATCAACTTTATCTTAATTAGTTGATTATATAATCAATCAAAATATTATTATTGAACTCTATTAGTTAATTTCAAATACATAAAAAAATTAATTCATTTTTATCTTTCAATACTAATATCTTTAGAGAAAACAATGCTTTTTTTTTGTTAACTGAATTATAGATGGCGCTAAGAATCGGCTATCTTTCTTTATGTTCTAAATGACGTGTAATTGAAAACTTCTTTTCTTTAATTTAAATAGCAGTACTCCTTGTAATAAGGAAAATTTTCAGTTTCATTTTGAAAATAAATAGTAATAAATATGTGAAAGCAGTTGTCTTCGACAAAGACATTTAGATAGAAAAAGCATCAATAAATGTTGCTCATCATACATATACGTCGTACAACTGCATTTGGGTGACACTATTGATTATTGTACAATGGGTGTTAAGAGTGTGGGTGAGGGATGAAAACAATATTTACACTCATACCTACATTCACACTCACACCCTGCTTCAATTCGAAGACAATATTTATAGTTGCATATATCATTGAAGAGCACACGACAACGGAATAACTCATATAGGAAACAAGCATTCACGTATTTTGATCAATTTAAAGCAAATATTTGGGTTCGATTCCATAGCTAAGTAATATTTGATTGAAGAATAACTTGAACTATACAGCTATTCAAACATTTTGTTAAATTGGAGACGTATATTAGTAGTTGATCATATCATCAAAGAGCTCTTGTTCAACAAATGATTCATACTAAACTACTGTTGAAGTATTTCGCTCAGTGCTAATTAACCAAATATTTGGATATGATTGTATCATGAAGGAACATACGATCAGAGAATAATTCGTACGAAGGAATTGTCACATATTTTTGTTTGATTATAACATCGAGAAACCTTTGATCGAAAAATACGTCATAAAAAATGGCTGTTCGAATATGTGCTTCAATTCGAAGGACATAGTTGTAGTGTTGTTTGTCGTCATGCAACATTTGTTCCATGTATAAATTATAAGAAAAACTATTCAAGTGTTTTGTTCAATTCGAAGGATATATTTACAATATCATTGCATTGTCGCGAAACACTTAATGAAGGATGTGAGTGTGAATCAGGATCTTTTATTGAGAAAAAAAACAGCCATACTCACACCCACATCCTCTAAATCATACAAAACTTTCAGGAACCGTAGAGCTTGTTACGTTTATAATTTTAATAATAGTTTTCTGAGTGTTTTACTCTATTTTCTTACTGGTAGAGACCAAATAATTATGAGTGTCTTTTATGTCACTTAGCAACCGAAGCTTGTATTTTTCTTTACCTTACCATGCCCAAACACAAGTATGAGTAGATATATCTGACTCATGGGACGGAATACTTTACTGTGGAAAAGTTCACTGGAATATATTTAGGTCCAATAGAGGACTTTTTAGGCTATTAAATGGTGTATTCTTTTATTGTATAAGAATTGATAAAAAAATGCATTAAGATATGAAGAAATAAAACTGTAGTGATTTCTGCTGCAGGCGTGACTCGATTTACTCCACCTAGATCGGCTCACAGATCCGTATTATCTCAAATATGATAATCTAAATCAACTAGATATTAGTTTTGCCACTTTTGTTATTACTTTTTCTACTAGAAAAGTTTTTGAAAATTCTTTCGTCAGTAAATATAGGATACTAAACAAGTGAATGTGAGTCGAGAATCATGTTTTGGTAATGCAAAATAAATGAAAAAGAACAAGCACCAAATGAATTCTTAAATTTGAAATCCGAATCACCCGAGAAACTCCTACTCTTTATTTCTCTGAGATTTGATTTAAAATCTGAAAAATCGTAGCCTAGCCCAATCTTGAGACATACAATGTTTTCATCATCCAATGAATGAAATTTTTGGAAAGTCGATCACATTCTCGAAAACAACTGCTACAAACCACCAGAATTACTTCAATGAATCCAAAAGATAGAGCCATAATACAGCATGATCAAATGCAAAAGTGAAGTAATTTATTTAAATATTCGATGTAGTTGTTTTAAGATGCCAGAAAAGCAAGATATCTACCTATCGTCATGAATTTCTTCACTCTCACATACGAGTGCTCTTATACTGTGAACCGTGGTATTCTGCTAAAAGTCTGCCAACATCGAAAACTGAGTGATTCTTTGGTCAACGTCCTGTACTGCGGCATTTATTAAAATTATATAGCTTTTTCATAGGCTATGAAGCAAGAATGCTTTTCAATAAAGAATCTTTATTCATTAGAGAGATGAAGTTGAATATATAAATAGCACTAATAACTAGCCTATTTTATTTCCATCTATTGTATAGATGTGAGCTATAAACTCGTATTCATTAACCTCTTGAACTTCAAAAATACTGAAGAAGAACTTGTGCGTGCCCGGGTTGATTTCCATGTAAATGCTTTGATTACCTCTCTGTGTTGCTGACAATCTTGTTTCTGGATCCTTGTCTAGCTTCGGATTTTCATGCTTCGTCGAGGTGAAAACTCGAGTAACACGCTTAATAACTTTTGCATTAATCACAACGTAGCCACTCTTACTAGCGATTTTATTTGTATTGATCTGATAATACTGATACGTGTTTGCATCGACTTCACTATTGACAAGTATCTCAGGTTGAATAAATGCAGGGAAATCACAAGCTTGTCTAGTGACGGTGTTGATCACTTGGGTCAGCTGGTGATAGTTTGAAAGTTGAACGACATCATGGGGTTCAGAGGCAATTCTTTGCAGCTCCTTCATGGTGATTTGGGTGCTAATGCCTTTGGCGAACACACCCAGGTCAAAAAAGCACTATCGTAAACGGTCGTATACGACGAAATACGTCTAGAAACGGTCATCGTACACGACGATCGTATACGATGAACGTATACGGTGCCATACGTTCAAATACAATCAACGTATACGTTGAAATAAACGACTGCCGTGCACGAGTGTAGTATACGACTGTATATGGTCGTAAGTTAGTCGTAAGTTGAGCTACATGTGTCGACCATACCCAGGTCGAAAAATCACATAGTAGGATCAGTTATGAATTCTTGTATGATCCTATTCGATGTTACTCAAAAATCGTATGTGTTCATACAAGATGATACAAAAAATCATATAAAAAATTGTCGTCTTTGAAATCTGATGTCAATTCTTCTAGCAAGTTTCTTAGATGCTCCAACACTAAAATATTGTATGATTATAAAAAAATCGTACAGTAAGGTTTTAACTGATTTCTTTAAAAACATACATTCTCGTCATGTTTCACCTTCCCTGGCAGCTATAGTTCAACTTAACTTCACATAGCCCAGATCTTTTTACTTACTGAACCCGATGCATAGGTGCCTACACCGGCAGTTATCATTACATAATAAAATTCATAGCATAATAGTCACAAAAACTTATGCATAAAAAATTTTACTCTCTATACCGTTAACAAAGAGAAATAAAAAACAAAAGTTGAGATTTTCTACATTACCAATATAGAAAAAACAAAAAAACTAAAGAATATGATCATCCGCATTATTAATATGGAAAAGTAAGAAAAAAAATGCGACTTTTTGTACTACTAATATAGAAAAATAAGAAAGAAAAATTAGCATTTTCTATATTATTATTATTATAGACGAGTAAGACACAAAACTAACTGTTTCTATATCATCAATATAGAAAAATAAGAAATACAAATTAAGATTTTCTTTACTATTAATATAGAAAAATTGAAAAATAAAAAATATTTTCTATATCAGCAATATGCAAAAATGAGAAATAAAACAAATAGTTATCTTTGTTACCAATGTAGAAAAATAAAAAAAATAAGATTCTCATATCACCAATGTAGAATAATAAGATGTGAAAATCAGCATTTTCTATATTACTACTATAAACAGATAAGACACAAAACTAACTGTTTCTATGTCATCAATATAGAAGAATAAGAAATAAAAATTAAGATTTTCTATATAACCAATATAGAAAAATAAAAAATAGGATTTTCTATATATCCAATATAGAAATATAAGAAATAAAACTTAAGATTTGTCATATCAGCAATATAGAAAAATAAGAGGTAAGAAGTTAGCATTTTCTATATTATTGTTATCGACAAATAAGACAAACAATATCTGTTTCTATATCTGTTCATACCAAGAGAAAACAGATGTCGTCTGTTTAAAAAAATGTAATTTTTATCAGTATCAGACACATTTATTCCTTTACAAATTTTTTTTTTCTGACACTCAATTGAAAGGAATAAAACAAATATACCTCTTATTTAAAACTATGTTCGACGTTTTTTCTTCGATCAAGTATAGATTTGAACACAGAGATATTACTCTTCAGTAATAATATCTGTAACGGCAGCAGACATAGCCTGTCTATTTTGTATGCATGTATGTATATCTGCATTCTTTTTCCATTAAGTACTCAATTCTTAACATCAGATAGGTATCTCGTATTTGATATATATGAGCTTTGTCTTACATAAAGTAATCAGTTTATAGCAGTAAAAGGATGAATACTTCCTACTTTATACAGTATGTTTTCATTTCATCTAATATTTAGCTATACGGATAGAGAGACATTCAGATAGTACTATACTGTATAGTCGTTATTGTCAACGAGTAATTCGTTTATGAAGTAGAGAGATATTCCTTACCCAATAGAAATTAGTTAGATGATATTAGATCTTCAGTTTTGAATGAGTGTGAAATCGTTATTTTTATCAATTTATATATTTTTTAATGTTGACTTCAGCATTAGTATAGTAAATTATACATTAGATTATATCTAATACTAATATTTCGATTGTATAAATAATTTACTA